GGTTTGATCTTGTTCTACCTACAATCGTTTGGGGCGCTGCCTCCCGGTGGCCAAACGTCGCACCGGGAAAATGTGCTTTGTCCTCCAGCCCTGAGGTTTCCAGCAGGTGCTCAGAGAGGCTTTCTGCAAAAGCTTACTGCCTTAGGGACCTTTGGAGATGCTCGAGGGCCCACTTCTGGCCTGGGCTCTCCAGATTAGTGTTTTGGGGGAGAACAAGAAGTCAGCTTCGGGGGCCTCAGAGATTTTTGATTGTATCTTCTGCCTTGTTCATTTGGCAAACTCTTACTCACCCTTCAAAACCCCAGCGGCAATGCTCCCTCTTCCAGAAAGCATCTCCTGATTCCCCCAGTTTCCTCTTTGCCTTTCTGTGCCCTTCCCATAGCCTGGGATTCCTCTCTGCCGGAGCTGACTGGATGAGGCTGGGGAGGGTGTCCGTGCCGGATTTGCCCTTTCGACCTTGGCGTGAGTGGGGCACAGGAACAGAGGGGACTCAGGGTACATATTTATAATAATATAACGTTTATATTATAAATATAATACGTAAATAAGGTATTTATTTGGGGGGCACCTGGGTGGCTCAGTCAGTTAAGCGTCCGACTTCGGCCTAGGTCATGATCTAGTGGGTTGTGAGTTCGAGCCCCACGTCGGGCTCTGTGCGGACAGCTCGGAGCCTGGAACCTGCTTCGGATTCTGTGTCTCCCTCTCTCTCTGCCCCTCCCCCACTCATGCTCTGTCTCTGTCTCTCTCAAAAATAAATAACATTAAGCAACTTTTAAAAAAGATGTTTATTTTTTTAGTTTAAAAAATATTTATTTGTTTTTGACAGAGAGAGAGCACAAGCAGGGGAGGGGCGGGGGGGGGGGGGAGAGAGAGAGAGAATCCGAAGTAGGCTTTGCACGGCCGGTGTAGAGTCCAAAACAGGTCTTGAACTCACAAACCGGGAGATCGCGACCCGAGCCAAGGAGGGACGCTCAACCGACTGGGCCACCCAGGCGCTCCTATAAATAAAATGTTTAAATATATATTCCAAGCAGCAAGGAACGTGTGGGTGTCTGCCCTGGTCCTGTCACCCCAAGATCTCACCTTCCGAGGCTGAGACCCACCCAGCACCCGGCCTTTGCTCCCCAGAGCCCGCCCTCCTCCGCGGGGAGCCCCGCCCCGGGTGGGGTGTGAAGACAGAGCTCTCTCTGCTGGCTTTGGGGCCAGGCCCTGGGGCGGCAGCCGTGGACCTTCAGAAAGCCCAAGTCTCTGACCCCTCTGGGCCTCAGTTTCCCCTCTATGAAATGGGGGGGGGGCTTCCTGGAGATGGGGTGCCCTGAGGAAGGCTAGCCCTGCGCCCTGGAGGTCTCTGGCACTCAACCCGCTTTTGGTGCGACCGATGTCCCAGCGGAACCTCGAAATGTGCCGGGGGCGCCGATTGCCCCGTCCCAGGCGCCGGTTCCGAGCGCGGCCGGACTTCCTGCCGGGTCTTCATTGCAGCCCCGCCCGGCCGGCGTCCTGCCCCGACGGCGGGCTCGTGCCCGGCTGGGTGGAAAACCCGGTCTGGCATCCCCACCCCGGAGCCCGGAGCCCGGAGCCCGGAGCCTGTGTTGCGGGGGCGGAGGCGGCCCCGGCGCGGTCCCGAAGGCGTGGCGGGGCGGGGGCGGGGCCGGCAGGGGACGGGGCGGGGGACGAGGGGCAGGTGCTACCCAGAGCGGCTGGAGGAGGCGAGGGCCGGGCGCTCTCTCCGCCGCAGCCGTCCTTAGCCTCCTCCCTCACCCCGAGGTGGGGACCGATTGACCGTTTCCAGGCCCCCCCCCTCCCCCGCCCCGGGACAGGGGCGCTGGAGAGCCCAGGGGTGGACCATGGCGGTGAGATTCCAGGCGAGTAGCGCGCAGAGGACGGGAGGGGGAGGGGATCTAGCTGGGGTCCGCGACCTGGATCTAGTCTGCGACCTGGGGCCTGGACCCCAGACCACCCCAGGTTACAGGTGGGGAAACTGAGGCCCAGAGGAAGGTGGTGGCTAGCCCGAGGCTGCTCAGAGAGGGGCGTTCGCCCTCTGGTCTCCAAAAGCTGTCTCGGGGGGGGGGGGGGGGGGGTCTTTCCGTGCTCCAAGGTCTGCCTCTCTGGGGTCAAATCCTGACTTTTCTGTGTAACTTCGGGCCGGTGAATCAAGGCCTCTCCATACCTCGCCCCTCAAATGGGCCATCTTCGTCGGGAAGGAGGTGCAGGGAGGATTCAAAGAGGAAACCGTGTTTTTAGCGCCTGGCACGTCTTGGGTGCCCTATAAAGATGTTTACGCGGGGTGTTCGGGCCGAGTTAGTCTTGAGCAACAGTGGGACGGCAGCAGTGACTTCATTTGTGGGCTGGGGTGGCTCCGGTGAATGCGGCGAAGCCGGAACCAGCATTCATTGGGCGCCTACTGTATACAGAGCCGTTAACTTGCATTACCGGGCAGAGACAGGGGTCTTGAGCCCCTTTTACACACGAGCAAACCTGCTGGGGGGAGGGGATCCCCTTGTCTCTATTTGGGGGGAAAACCTCACCCTCCGGGGACCGAGCTCGGGCTGACCCCTTTCATAACCGCCGCACCGGGCGGCAGATCGCGCCTGGAGGGGTAAAGTGAGGCCGTAGGGAGAACGTGGCTCGCCCCAGACCACACTTCCGGGCAGTTCTGGTTCCCGCCAACTTCCGTCCTGGCTGCGGGGTGGGGGTGGGGGGGGGGAAGCTTCCAGAATCCCCTCCCCACCTCCCATATTTGTGGCCCTCCTACCCCCTCTCCCCGCGCCCGGGTTCCCGGAGGCGGAGATGGGGAGGGGGCGGGGAGCCAAGTGCCCGGGGTTGTGTGACAGGGTACCACCTGACTCGCCCGTTTGGGTGACTCCTCCTCTCCTCGTCCCTGGGGGAGGGGGTGGGGATAAAGGCCCAGGCCCCGCCCCCTCAGAGCTCACCTGGGTGGGTGAAGGGCTGACCGAGGGGTCTAGGAATTGTGGACACACCCGGTTGAGTTCCTGGCTGAATAGGCCTTTTATCTCACCATTCACCCCCATTCCTTGAACTCCGTCTCCCTTCTGTTTCTGTGGGGACTGTACTGGGGTCCCAGGGTCCCCAACCTTGCCCAGCCGCAGGCCCCAGACCAGAGGGGTGTATGGGAGGCAAGGGACTGGGACCCCCCCCCCCCCATTCCAATGATTAGGGATGTAAGGCGTGTGAATGGGGCCGCTGAGGACTCACTTCCTGGAGGAAGAGACAGCGTCCCCTCCCGGGGGCTCTGAAGGATGAGTAGGGGTTCACCAGGGCCCAGGAGATGCCAAGGGCCACCACCAGGGTGCCGGAGAGACGGCTCCAGCCCGCCTTCACGGCCCAAGAGGAAAGATCAGGAACTTGCAAGCTGATGATTAAACTGGCTAATTTTTTTAAGAAATGTTTATTTTTGAGAGCGAGGGCGAGCGAGTGGGGGAGGGGCAAAGAGGGAGGGGAACCGGGCTCCCCAAGTGGGCTTTGCGCTGGCAGCACAGAGCCCGACGCGGGGCTCGAACTCACAGACCGTGAGATCATGACCTGAGCGGAGGTCAGACGCTTCACCGAGCCGCCCAGGTGCCCCTAAACAGGATAATTTAAGATGGCTTGGGGTGCCGTGATCCAAGCCTAAGAAAGAAAACGGGGAACCGTGACAGGGAGCCCTGGAAGTTTGGCTCGCCCAGGAAGGCTGCCTGAGGAGGCGGGGGACCCAAGTGGCGAGGGCTAGCGGCCTGCGGGTTCTTGGGGGGGTGTCTCTCGGCCCAGGGGACTGCCAGGGCGAAGACGTGCAGGTGAACGGAGCTGAGGGCCACTGGGGGGCGGGTTAGGCTTGGCCCCGTGGGTTTTAGACAAGGTCTCTAATATCTAAGGAGGTGAACCTGCACGGGCCGGGAGGGGGGCGGGTGGCAGGGCAAGCCTGGGCCGCCTGCACCTGTCCCCCAGGGGCCCTGGTTCCCTGGGGCTGTGTCTTAAAATAAGGCTGGGAAATCAAAGTTCCGGAGGGCATTTAATGATACAAAGTGTAAACTCAAAGCAAGTACAAAGATTCTGCTTTGAAACATAAGTCCGGAAGAAAAAAACAAGCGACAGGGCGGAGGGTGCGGTGGTTGGTTAGGGAGGGTGCGAGACCCGCCGCCTGTTCACCGGGTGACCTCAGGCAAGTTACTGCCCCTCTCTGGGCCTTCCTTTGCTCTCCCTTAAGGTGGGAATAACAGCGGTGACACATTAAGGCCGCTCAGGGTTAAACGATGAGCGGAGCGCGGTGTCTCTCACTCACGTGCAAAGGAGGAAAGTCGAGGCCCTCTGCTTTGCCCGCCTGGCTCCTTGCCCCGCGCCGCCGCCGCCTCGGCCCTGAAGGCCAGGGCGCCGGGGGCGGGGGCAGCCCATTTGGCAGGCGGGGAAACTGAGGCAGCCGGCAGAGGGCTTTGAGTCGGGGTCGTGAGCGCTGCCCTCAGCTCCCGGGTAACGACGGGGCGGGGAGTGGCCGGGAGGCCCCGCCCTCGGCGGTGTTTGTCTCTCGCCCCCTCCCCCCACCCCCTGGGAGCCAGGAATCCGCTCTCCCGGGGTC